GGAGGTGGCAGTGGGAGCGGTAGTGGGGGCAGCGGTAGAGGAGGTGGAGGCGCTGGAGGTGGTGGCGGCAGTGGGACCGGTGGCGGAGGTGGAGGCTCTGGTGGCGGCGGTGGAGGCAGCGGAGGAAGTGGCGGCAGTGGAGGCGGTGGGACCAGTGGTGGTCGGTCTGGACCTCAGCGTGGAGGCCCTGGTGGTGGTCGGGGCCAGCAGCAGCAGTGTCGGAGCGAGACTCAGACGCCCCAGCAGCTCCGTGAGTGGTTGGTTCAGCGTGGGGCGGGTGAGGGTAGTGAGACCTGCCCGTATGTCATTCGCACGGGTGCCCGTACGGGCCGGACATGCGGGAGGTTTCACACTAAGCGCCGCTGCTTTGCCCGCCTTGACGACGCCTGGCGTACTGAGTTTGGTGATGACGTCGAGCGCCCTTGCTGGGCGCAGTTGCTTTAGTCAGTAGTTGCTATCTTTGACCTAGACTTTGATGTTATTATCTCTGCCATATATGCTTTGTCTTTTAGTGCTGAGGGTGACTGTTACCGGTGTGTGCCACCTGACCCAGGTATAGCGGCTGCTGCTCTAGGTGCTGCGGGCCTGGTACCCCCCCTGGTACTGGGCCTGCTGCGGCCTTGCACACTTTCACGTTGGACTCCGACGCCTCACGCTGTTTCTTTCGTGACAGCACCACTCTCACTCCTCTCCCTGCACCTGTCCCGGTCAGACTGGCTGACCCCTCTGGGGGCCCGGTCGTTGCCCGTTCCTCCACTGTCCTCCCGTGTCCGGCGGTTCCGTCCGGCTCACTGTCAGGTCTTCACCTCCCCTCGTTCTCTACGAACTTGGTGAGTACCACTGCCCTCCAGGATGCGATGGTCACTACCACCACTCCTAGGGATCAGCGTGTGTCGATCTGCATGTGCATACGGACGGGGCGTCACCTGGCTACGTTCACTCGTAGGCCAGGGTCCAGTCTGTACACACTGGCTACCGAGCCTCCTCAGGTTGCCGCGTCTGCTCAGGTGTCTGCGTCAGGTCAGGTAGCCGCCTCTTGCTCGTGTCGCCTCCTGTCGCACCAGACTCTTCTTTGGCACCACCGCCTGGGTCACCCCTCTCTGCCACGCCTTCGTGGCATGCACTCCCGTCTCCTTGTGTCTGGTGCCTCCCTTACCGCCCTCGCCTGCCCCGCCCTGTCTTCCTTGCGTCGAGGGGCGGCAGCGCGCCGCTCCTCACTCCTCCTCGTTTCCCCCGACGACTGCTCCCCTACAGACCCTCCACATGGACGTGTGGGGCCCAGCCCGCGTCAGTGGACAGGGCCGCGAGCGCTACTTTCTGCTGGTAGTTGACGACTACACGCGGTACACCACAGTCTTCCCCTTGCGCAGCAAGGGTGAGGTCTCTGCTGTCTTGATCCCTTGGATCCGCACGGTCCGTCTCCAGCTGCGCGAGCGGTTCGGCCAGGACCTTCTTGTCCTGCGTCTGCACTCTGACAGAGGTGGTGAGTTCTCCTCCGACCTCTTGCGGGACTTTTGTCGTGGGGAGGGCATCACTTAGTCGTTCACGCTTCCGAACTCCCCTCAGCAAAATGGGATTGCTGAGCGCCGCATTGGCTTAGTCATGGAGGTCGCTCGTACCTCCATGATCCATGCGGCCGCTCCCCATTTTCTGTGGCCGTTTGCGGTCCGGTACGCTGCGCATCAGCTCAACCTTTGGCCCCGTGTCTCCTTGCCGGAGACCTCGCCCACACTGCGTTGGACGGGGAAGGTTGGTGATGCGTCGGCGTTCCGGGTCTGGGGTGTCAGATTTATATGACATAGCTACTGTAGGCTATAGTGGGGTAGCACATATGGGGTACAGTTTTCTAGGGTTTACATTTTGTACCCAACTTTCCCTTAGTCAATTCATTCTCGTTCAGTTTCTCATGGTATCGAGCAGGTTCCCCTGTGGGAACTGTTCCTAGGGCCCACCAATTTTTTTTTCCTGCCCGGAGCGCGCTCTACACTGCCCGAGTCGCGCTCCCCTCTCTCGACCCTGTCGCGCCGCCTTAGCGGCCCCGTCGCGTCGCGCTTGCGGCCCCGTCGCGTCGCCCTCGCGGCCCCTTCCTTCGGACGAGTCCGTAGAGCCGAGTGGTCCGTACCCAGAGCTTGTGGGTTGCCTCATGTACCTGATGACTTGCACACGACCTGACCTCGCGTACCCTCTCAGCCTTCTGGCTCGCTACGTGGCTCCCGGTAGGCACCGAAAGGTGCACTGGGATGCTGCGAAGAGGGTACTGCATTACCTGTGCAGTACGTCGGGCATGGGGCTCGTGTTTGGAGGAAGGGGTCCAGTTGTCCTCACTGGTCACGCAGACGCCTCTTGGGTTGACGACATAGCTACGCAGCGGTCGTCACAGGGTTACACCTTCAGCCTTGGGTCCGGCTCGGTTTCTTGGCGGTCTACCCGCTCGTCTTCAGTTCTCAGCTCCAGTTGTGAGGCTGAGATCTACGCCGGAGCCATGGCTGCTCAGGAGCTACGCTGGCTCACCTACTTGCTAACCGACTTGGGAGAGCAGCCTCGTTCGCCTCCAGTCTTGTACGTAGACAGCAAGGCCGTGATTGCCTTGTGTCAGGAGCACAGACTGGAGCACAGAACGAAGCACATCGCTTTGATACTACCTTGCTCGAGAGTTGCAGCAGCGTGGCCAGCTTCGTCTTGCGTACGTGGCCACTCGGGCCAACACTGGTGATGTCTTCACTAAGGCACTTCCGCCTGGTGATCATCAGCGCTTTGTGACTGTGTTAGGCCTTGTGCCTACTTTGCCTCACTTGCTTACTGCCTGACTCTGCTTGTACTGTGATCTATATATACCTGCATGCTTGCACTTGCTAGGGTATGATCACTGTATTGTTTGTTCTCTTTATATAACTCTGCATGTGAACTGGCCTTGCGGCCCTTTGCTTGTGCTCAGACTGTGTGGTGACTTTGTGATCCACCCTGAGCTTGCCTTGCTTTGCTTCTTCTCTTGATCGGTCTTATGACCATTGCTTGGTCTTGCTATCCCCCACTTTGCCTATGGGGGTGTGTCAAAACATATATGCTTAGTTCTATCTAGGCTGTATGGGGGCTAGCTTTAGGGGGTACAGAAATCATCTCGACATTCTACTTGTACCCCCCCCCCTTCTCCTAATCGACCCTTCTCGTCACTTGTTTTCACAACTTGATGTAGCTGTTGACCTTCTCCTCTAATGCCATTTTAGTCTCAAGTAGCTGCTGGAGCAGGCGGCTCGATGAAACCGAATCTTTCGGTTGGTACACGCCGTTTAGATGCCGCCAAGCATCGAGGGCTGGAGCAGGAGTCGTCTTGTACGAGCGAATGCTCACATATTCTGCAGGAGAACGCTGTACTCCATCAAAGACTCATTGTAGTACTGCGCTCGGGCGTCAGCAGTGTCCTCAGTGGGTCCCGAGTAGCTCCCGTCGAAGTAATGAAATATCTGCGCGTTTTGCAACAGCAGTTCCAGCTCGAAGCTCCACGTATAGAAGTCTCTGCCGTCAAAACGCACACTTGTCTTTATTTTTTATATGCTCAAAAACCATGATTGCGCAGAGAGAATTGCTTCTTCGCTGGGACGGGGAGTCTTGGGTGTTGAGCCATTTGTGTCGAGGGAGAAGGTATGCGGGGCGGTATTTTGGCTGTTTGAGGCCGGTTGAGTGGTTGGGAAGATGTTCCCGCGTCGCCATTCCGCAATGTTTGGAGTTGTTGCTCCAGGCTGGTGAGTCGCTTAAGCATCTGTGCGAGGGCGGCGGTTCCAATCGTCGTCGTTTCCTCGCTTGTCGCAGCCGGGTTGGTCTGCGCTTCAGCCGTCAGATTCATCTGACCACCAGATCCTCCAGCTATTCTCACACGCGAGCGTGTGCCGGACCCTAGGATCACCTCAGAAAGGTTCGCACACGTCTGAGTAGTGGTGGTGGGCCCTTCACCTCAATAGCAGAGTGGATGTAAAATGTTTGAGATGATAAAAAACATGCAAGTACAGGAATATAAATAAGAGTACAAGGGAATACCAATTGACCTAGTCTAGCCATGTACTCTCAGGGGTACATTCCCTTATTGCAGCGAAACCCAACCGTGCGATTCCAGACGATTACTAACTGCCTGGGCAGAATCCTTGCCACTGCTGCTGCCTGATGATGTCTGCCCGACGGTCCAGATCCTTTCGTAACCGTGCGACTCTTCGCATCACTCCCGCTTTTTCGTCTTCAGCCTCGGTAGTGCGTGCTTCGTTTGCTACGGTAGGGAGTGCACAGTAATGCTTTGTCAATTACTATTCATAACACTTATAATCAGACAATGTCTTATTGCCCTTTTTGCTGGAGATAACTCCCCAGGATTATTCTTTGGGGAGGGGGGGACCCATCTTCCAAACAAGAAAATAAAAAAGGACAAGCACCAACATTTTGATAAGTGGGCTGGAGGTTGGAAATATCAATAATAATGAATCAGCTTTCTACGAGTTGACAATGTCAATGTAAGTGGTAGTCTTTCAGGCTTTCTAGAACTCATTGTTCGCTTTTTTGCCTCACTGTACAAAACAACCCCAGCTACAGTGATTCCGTAGCCTATCATCCCTAGTAGGGTTACAGGGTTACGGAAGATTATGATCGAGACGACTACAGCAACTGCACCCTTGGCATTTCCAAGGACCTGACAACAACAAGGCACGAAGACATCAGCACAAAATGAGAGTGGTAGATAGTAATTGAGATGACAACAGCAACAGGAGCACCCGACATAAGAGAAATAAAGAAAGGGGAAAAACAAGTTCAGCCTACCTTCTGCAAACACAAACTTGGATTGCTAGGTATGCTACTTTCCTAGCTATCACACAGAAATTTTAAGAAAAAACGGACGCAACTAGTAGTACGATGCACATCAGGAGGTCAAGGAACTGCAATGAAGCACATACGGTGTGATGTAGCATCTCATGACTCATTGCTGCATAGTGCATAGCGTACCTAGATTTGAGACGTCTCTAAACAAAGCGAACTGCAAACGGTGCACTGTAGCATCTCATGGCACACTGCTGCATAGTGCCGAGCATAGATGGAGAGAATGAGAGTACCTGGAGAGAATGAGAGTACCTGGAGAGAATGAGAGTACCTGGAGAGAATGAGAGTACCTGGAGAGAATGAGAGTACCTGGAGAGAATGAGAGTACCTGGAGAGAATGAGAGTACCTGGAGAGTGAGTGACATCTCTGATGAGTGAGAAAGTACCTGAAGAGAGTGAGGGTACATGGAGACTGAGAGCACGTGGAGAGAGTGAGAGAACCTGGCGAGAGTGTGAGTACCTGGAGAGTGAGAGAGTACCTGGAGAGTGAGAAGAGTGAGAGAGCACCTGGAGAGGGAGAGAGTACCTTCAGAGTGGGAAAGTACCTTCAGAGTGAGAGCGCTGGTGTAACAGGTAACCAGAAAGTTCGTAAGATTCACGAAGAATGCAGTAGAGGAGTTGACTAAGAACAAAGGGATGATCCCCAGTGTTGGATCGCCTTGCTATGTGGACAGGGAGCGTATCAGAGTAGACTGACTGTATCTAAAGAGAGAGAGGGTACCTGCAGAGAGTGAGCGTACCTGGAGAGAGTGAGCGTACCTGGAAAGAGTGAGCGTACCTGGAGAGAGTGAGCGTACCTACCTAGAGTGTGAGCGTACCTGGAGAGAGTGAGAGTACCGGGAGAGAGTGAGCATACCTGGAGGGTGAGTGCGCTCGTGTAACGGGTAACCAGAAAGTTGGTGAGATTCACGAAAAATGCGGTAGAGGAGTTGAATAGGAGCAGATGGACGATCCCCCAGTCTTCGCGTGCTTTACTAAGCGAAGAGGGAGTATACCAGAGTTGACTGACCGACTGCGTTTAAAAAGAGAGAGCATACCTGAAGAGTGAGTGCACTCGTGTAACGGGTAACCAGAAAGTTGGTGAGATTCACGAAAAAGGCAGTAGAGGAGTTGACTAGGAGCAAAGGGATAATCCCCCAGTCTTCGTGTGCTTTACTGGCAGCAACGGCGAGGACGGTTGGCTCGATGACGAGAGTGGCGGGGAGGAGGAGGAGCACTGCGATGGGAGCCATGTAGAAGAGCAGATTCATGGAGTTAAGCTGATGGCTGGATGGGAAAGGGAAAGGGAAAAGGAAAAGAGAGGAAGGGAGTTGAGATCGGTAGGAAGACAGGATGAGGAGGGAGTGAGGAGGAGCAATCCGATGGGAGGCATGTAAAAGAGCAGGTTCATAGGCATGTAAAAGAGCAGGTTCATGGAGTTGAGCTGATGGCTGGAGGGAGAGGGGAGGGAGAGGGGAGGGGAGGGGAGGGGAGGGGAGAGAGGATGGGAGGATATGGTACAACTGAGGGATTGCAGTAGCAAATAATCGGTGTAAATCATCCACGTACGAATGCTTGAAAGTTGTCTGAATGACATTTGCCCATCAGGTTGTAGCAGCAGGCACATGCAGTCTTTTGTGTGTGGCTGTATTCTTGAGTTTTTTTTTTTTTAGATGTCTCAAGAATTGCCTAGCTTCTTCTGCAGCTGGCCAAAACACATTTTGATTGCATATATGTAGACATACAGACTTACCCATCCGACTGCATTTTTGAGACGTCTCAAATATCAGGCTCACCCATCCGGCTGCAGCAGCAGGCCTTGCAGCACAGACTTGAGTGCCCTGGCTGCTGTTGCTGGCCAAAGAATATTCTGATTCATAAATGCACACTTGTGTTGAGTGTAAAGATACCAACGTACCCATCTGATTGCAGCAGCAGGCCCTGCAGCACGGATTTGAGTGGCCTGGCTGCTGTTGTCAACAGAACCACTTTTTTATTACATATATGCACACCTATGTTGAGAGTAGTGAGGGTTACATATATGCACACCTATGTTGAGAGTAGTGAGGGTTACATATATGCACACCTATGTTGAGAGTAGTGAGGGTTACATATATGCACACCTATGTTGAGAGTAGTGAGGGCTACATATATGCACACCTATGTTGAGAGTAGTGATGGTTACATATATGCACACCTATGTTGAGAGTAGTGAGGGTTACATATATGCACACCTATGTTGAGAGTAGTGAGGGTTACATATATGCACACCTATGTTGAGAGTAGTGAGGGTTACATATATGCACACCTATGTTGAGAGTAGTGAGGGTTACATATATGCACACCTATGTTGAGAGTAGTGAGGGTTACATATATGCACACCTATGTTGAGAGCAGTGTGGGCATACGAACTTACCCATCTGATTGCGGCGGCAGGCCCTGCAGCACGGATTTGAGTGCCCTGTCTGCTGTTGCTACAAAAGACAAACCCGTTCCATTGTAAACATGTTTATACACACTAATTTTGAGTGTAAATTTACGAACTTACCCATCTGACTGCAGCAGCAGGCCCTGCAGCACGGACTTGAGTGCCCTGGCTGCTGTTGCTGATACACAGATGATGAAGCCAAAGAGGTGAAAGCTGGGCTCGCTCTGATGGGAGGGTAATAAAGGGAGAGGTGCAGTGCGGGAGCAGATTTAATCGGGACTGCTGCTGAGGCAGCACGTTTGCCTCCATTGCTGATACACAAGTAATGAAGCCAGAGAGGTGAAAGCTGAGCTCGCTCTGATGGGAGGTTGTCACTCATGGTGGAATGGCAGCAGTACTAGAGAACAGCTTTAGCAAGTAAGAAAGAGAGTAAAAAATACTGCTAAAGCTGTTCTCCAGTACTGCTGCCCTTCGACCATGAGTGATAATGAAGCCAGAGAGGTGAAGGCTGGGCTGGCTTGCTCTGATGGGAGGGGAGCGAGGGGGTGGGGGACAGACAGAAGGGAAGCGACAAGTGTGAGGAGAGCTGATTTCTGAAGAGAGGAGAGGAGAGGAACAAGTGCTGCTGAAGCAACATGCTGCGAAGTAACAAAGCCGTCCTGTTCCCAAGACACACACAATGTTCTCACAAAGCGCTCACTTGCTCACTGACTCGCTCACTTACTCACTCACTCTCTCACTTACTCACTCACTCTTTCACTGACTCACTCACTCACTCCCTCGCTCACTCACTCACTCACTCTCTCACAGACTCACCCCGCTGGCGATGACGACGCCGAGCACGACGGGCAGGAGGGCGGCATACGTGAGGGCGGCCTCGCGCTTGAAGGTGAGGAGGTAGGCAAAGACAGCCGTGAAGAATGGCGTGGTGGCGCCGATGGCCTGGTTGAACGACACCGGGATGAAGCGCAGCGACGTGTTGCCGCCCACCACTGAGAAGCAGAACACCGCGCTCAGCGCCACGATCCTGAGGAGCTGCGAGGAGGACTTGAGTGGCTGGAAAGAGGAGAGTGGGAATAAGGGGAAAGGGAGGAACAGGTTCCAGGGAGGCACAGGATTCTGAGACGCAGAACACGGCGCTCAGAGCCACGATTCTGAGCAGCTGCGTGGAGGACTTGAGTGGCTGTGTGTGGGGAGTGGTTGGGGGAGAAGGGGGAGGAGAGGCTCAGGAGAGAGTCAGAACCGCAACACTGAGAAGCAGAACACGGCGCTCAGCGCCACGATCCTGAGCAGCTGCGAGGAGGACTTGAGTGGCTGGAAAGAGGGGTGGTTGGGGGAGGGAGATGGGACGGGTATAGAGTGGTATGGATGGAAACTGGGATGAAGCGCAGCAACGTGTTGCCGCCCACTACTGAGAAGCAGAACACCGCGCTCAGCGCCACGATTCTGGTGAGTTGCGAGGAGGACTTGAGAGGCTGGAAAACGGGATGCGTGAAAGGTTGGGAGGGATGAATGTGGGGGAAATGGGAGATTTCGGTGTGAGTGTAGGATTGTGGGGCGTTCGAGCTAGGGTGGTACGAAAGGTTTTAGAGGAAATGGAGGGGCAGGGGGGTTGGTTTAATGGAAAGGGCAAGAGACGCTTTTGGGTCAGTTTCGGGTGGTTTCTTTATAAGCTGGAGTATGGAACAGCAGCACGAATATGGGGCACATAAAGACCAACTCACACTGGACACTTGAAGCCCAACTTACACTGGACACTTAAAGCCCAACTCACAGTGGACACTTAAAGCCCAACTCACACTGGACACTTAAAGCCCAACTCACGTACCTGCAGCGGGACAATCTTCATCCACACAATGGCGACGTAGCTGAAGAGGGAGCAGGCGGTCATGTGACACATGGTGAGGAAGATGGGGTACTTAAAGCCATAGCTACTCAGCAGGAATTTATTCAGCAGCAGCACCCCGATGTTGCTTGTGTACCATGCTGCTACTATTGACAGGGTAAATAACCCTGAGGTCTTCTTGGTAGATTCCTGCATGGTTGCATCTGGAAGCACACACAATACACCCACAGGAAGGACGCAGCAAAAGACTAGATGAGCTCAGAAATGCGTGACTTATCATTCACATAATCACATCAACACACAATCACAAAGTCACATTGGTGAAGGAGGACTCACCAATGCATAGTCGATACAACAGGAAACTGGCAAAAAACTCACTAGATTTTCCTTCCTTCCCCTTTAAAATCAATAGTGACTCACGCGTTTACAGGACCACAGCAGTACCGGGTGGGTCTCAGGCGAACCGACTCCTGCTCATGCCACGCGGAGAGAATTCCTAATGCCGGCGCGGGAAAATGATTTCGTCGGCGATATCACAACAACGAAAAATCGGCAACGCAGAGCATTTGTCGATACCGACGGTCAGGTAAAATCAGGAATTTAGATTCAGCAGTTTCCGTGAGACAAACAACGGCTTTTGGTCAACCAGCCGTAGCCTTAAATAAAACAGATGACTTGTGCCTCGGAGATCGCGTAAAACCAACAGGGAAAGGCGAAGAGGCTAAGCAGCGTGAGTGCGTGAAAGAAGTAACGCCATACGTAACCACATAAGCTAAAAACGTCGTATTCTTCTTCTAAGGAAACTTCTTAATAAGCTCGTCATAAGCTAAAATCATTGGCGCTTATTATAGGAAGAGCAGAGGCAAGCTTGCAATCGCACGAGTTGTACAATTTCCGCCTTGTGAGGGTCGACTCAGAACATAGCCATTAGTAATTTACAACTATGCCTATGTTGAGAGAGCTATGCCGGCGAGCGAGTGATGCGATGTTGATCCCTGCCTGCCGCCCAGCCGAAAGTAGGAAAGCCAGTGAAGGGAAGGGATGCAGTGTGGCACGGCACGTCATATGGTTTATGGTAGTCCGTTTGTGCTGAGTACCATACCCAACCGATTTCGATTCTGTTTGAAACGCCGTAAAACTCAAAACAACTCCTTGAGCCATGTTCAGATGAACTGTCAAGACAAGCCACTATTTCGCTTCACATGCAGCCCAGCCGAAAGAAGGAAAGTCTTCCTGGGTAGCCTTCTAGGTGTAGCCTGACTTGCCATACACTCTTACCATACCCATCAAATGGCGCACTCCAATCATAAACTGTGTTGCGAATATGTTTTTACGTAATATTTCATTGAACTGCACTGTTTGAAGTTCAGAAGCGAAGCTATCCATATCGAGTGTTTCAGACCCAGGACTCGAGCTACAGAGCGCGACCGCGCATAGTGGTCGCGACCCTCGTGGCAGCTGAAGCGTCGAATTGGGCAGTGGGGTGGCAGAATACCGCGCCCTTGCCGAAGCTGAACAGTCTCGCCATCTCGACTGTAACAGGGCAACCGAAGTGACGCAGCGCAACTGTTCTACAGTTGCGCTACGGTAACTGTCTGCCCCATCTGTTTCCCATATAATCCAATGTATTGCCATGCTATTATTACACAATTCTCCACCTTGTGTCCAGCCTACCCTCCGCTCTGGCACCACGTTACAAGCCACGAGAGCTACCTCTGAGTGACTATTTCCCCGCCGTAGGGACGTCATTAATTCCTAAAGTATTTCCACTACTCTAGCGACCTCTTAATTTCAACAAACTGTACAACCTCCTTCAAGATGCGTACATGCCATTAGGCAGTCTACTACTAAGGGTACATTCCTGCGGGGACACTTGTGTCTCAATCACTTTGTGACATCTTAAAACAGCATATACCGTGCCCTGTCACAAAAGCGGATCGCGCTTATGCGAGTCCCACTGTATTTTACATTGGTTGGCGTGAATTGCGCTTGTGTCGCGGACGAGTTACACGAGGCCCCGTCACATCCCGAAAATCGCACGCGTGTCGAAATCTCACACTGTACAGCATGCACCTGGACGCCCGAACTGGGCACGTTTTCGCGCAGGGATGGAAACCGCTCTGCCCGGCCTGACATATGACTGGTTGTATACATGCTGTTGTGTGTGGGGTGGCCCAAATTGCAACTTTCATTTCTGTGGCAAGCCCACCGCGATACTCGAGGTGGTGCGATATGTTTAGCCCCCCTGCCCGGCGGGAAAACTGGGTGGGCACAATCCTATTGGTCGCAACCAATAGTACGCACCCACCTGGCTGTGCCCATCTGTCGCGCAGGGTCGCGATACATTGGTTGTTTGTGACACAACATTTGGCAAATTTACAGGCGCGACTCGGGAAAACGGGGATTGAGACACAAGTGTCCCCACAGGAATGTACCCTAATAATGTATAATCACGGCATTCATGCTAGTAAGTTACTATTTGTTCACTGGAGCGAAGGTGGTAGTGTAGCAATCATATGCTCGATTCTCTCCACCACCTGTGGGGCCGTCGGCCGTTGCTTCACATCCTGATGCAACATCCATTCAACCAGCCTGTGAAACGACGCAGGGTACCCTAAAACCTCCCCTCCTGCTCCTCCCGCAGCAGAGAAACCAGAAAAGTCACCTCCAGACGAACCAGGAGCGTCCATTAGAGCAGGGGAGGGAGAGGAGGAGGAGGCAGAGAGGGGTGGATGTGGCCATTTGATGGTGCCACTCATGACTGCAAGCTGCAGGCTGCCTCCTGACTCGCCCAGGGAGAACTCGAAAGGGGACTGGCCATACCTGGGGTTTGAGAAAGAAGAGAAAAAGGCCATGGGAAAAAAAAGGGGGGGGGGGGGGGGAGAGGGGGAGATAAGGGAGAGGAAGTGGCAGGTAGGTGGGGAGGGGCCGGTGGGGGCCATTTGATGTCTTCATGCATAACTGCAAGCTGCAGGTTGCCTCCTGACTCGCCTCGGGAAGACTCGAAAGCGGACTGCCCGTACCTGGGGTTCAGGAAAGAGAGAAAAGAATGAGGAACGAACACGGAAATGCGGGGGTTGGGAAGGGAGAAAAGGTAAGAGTGGTTTGGAATGAGAATCATGGTATGTGTGGAGAAAGAAGTCATTCAGGGAGCTGCTCCTACGAGAATACACATATCGTCACAATTACCCACAGCCACTGTTGCATAGCTCGTTGCCAACTCGCCTACAGTCACACTCACATGGTGGCATAGAGGGTGCATCCCAGCGACCACACGCCATTCTATGCCTCCCTGCCTCCACTTACAATCACAGTACTGGTATGCTCAATTGCCTACAGTCACACTCACATGATGGCGTAGAGAGTGCATCCCAGCGACCACACGCCATTCTATGCCACCCTGCCTCGACTTACAATCACAATACTGATATGCTCAACTGCCTACAGTCACACTCACATGGTGGCGTAGAGAGTGCATCCCAGCGACCACACGTCACTCCTCTCATCAATATCCATCTCACTCGGGCAGTCCCAAAACTCCGGTGCTCGGTACGCTGCTGAACAGTGCTGCGCCGCCCATTCCTGTGACGGAATCAAAGCCAGCAAGCGAAAGGAACATGGGGAGAAAAAAGCAGGTCAGCTAAGAAATCCGCTGAGCTCTAAACGCGTCTGAAAAGTGCTAATTTCCCCAAAAAAAAAGGATCTATTTGAGAGAACAGATTAGATCCAGAGAAGGAAGGGGAGAGAATGCAAAACACAAGACTAGTGCAGACTCATGAGTTAGGATCTCAGCATGTCAGACACATGCTTTTGAAAGAAAGGAAAGAATAGAAAAGTAAAAACACTGACCTGCAAGGACAAGGCCTGGTTGCGCGAGGTGATGTGTATCCTGGCAGGAGTGGTGGAGCCAAAGTCCATAATCAACACGGCAACATCTGATGCCGATGCTGTATACTTCAGTGTACCCAGTACATGCATGCTAAGAGGTAGTGAGAGGTTATGAGTGGCACTGGGAGGTAGTGAGAGGTTATGAGTGGCACTGGGAGGAAGTGAGCGGCACTCACCTGCAACGACAGGGCTTGGTTGCGAGAGGTGATGTGTCTCCTGGCAGGAGTGGTGGAGCCAAAGTCCATAATCGCCACCGCAACATCCGATGCCGACGCTGTTGGTAACCGCTCCAATGGCAATCCCTCCCCTGCTCTCTCCCCTGCTCTCTCCCCTGCTCCCTCACCTCCTGCTGCTCCTCCTGCTCCTCCTGCTGCTTCTCCCCCCCCGTTCCGCCCACCTTGGTTAGCCTTTCCTGCTTCTCCTGCTTCTCCTCCAGCAGCGGCAGCAGCAGCACCAGCAGCAGAAGGAAATGCAGGAAAGGCACCACTGCCACTACTACCACCGGCAGGAGGAGAACCACCACCACCACTGCGTAGACCCGCTACAAAAGCGTCATCTCTCTCTGCTACACCAGTCACACAGATACCATCCCCGCTGCCCCTGCTCATGCCCCCTCCAAGCCCCCCTGTGGCCCCGTGCCCTCCCCCAAAGGCTATGAGAATGTTCCCTGGCTTGACGTCGTTGTGGGCTAGAGGGGGCGAACATGCATGCATGTGTGCAAGGCCGGCGGCAACCTGAGAAGAAACGAAGGAGAAAGGGGAAGGAGACGGGAGGAAGAGCTAGGCTATGAGGACGCTTCCTGGCTTGACGTCATTGTGGGCTAGAGGGGGCGAACATGCATGCATGTGTGCTGTATATGCCATTGTGTGCACACAAAGCGCACTCCCTGTGATTCTGTGCCCACCAAATGCTATGGGCAATGTATGCATGCAAAGACGTGACTGTGAGCATTTGCCATAGTGGGGCATGTGTGTGTGTAATATACAGTCAGGCATCACCGTGAAGCATGCGTAAACGTAGAAAGACGATGAAGCATGCATAACTGCTAGAGTGGGGCATTCGAGAGAAAAGCAAACAGAACAAATACCTGGCTGATAATGGTGAGCACTTGAAGCGGTGAGAAGCGGTGGCCTCTACCGGGCTGCGACCCCTTGGGTTGAGCCATCCACCCGACATGGTCGTGAATGGTGCCGTCCCGGTAGACTGGGAAGACCAGGTACGCCTCCTTGGTGCCCTGCTGCTGCTGCAATGGGGTGAGAGCAACAAGTGGGATGGTGAAAAGCGGTGAGAAGCGGTGGACCCTACCAGAGGAGGGCTGTGACCCCTTGGGGTGAGCCATCCACCCGACATGGTCGTGAATGGTGCCGTCCCGGTAGACTGGGAAGACCAGGTACGCCTCCTTGGTGCCCTGCTGCTGCAATGGGGTTAGAGCAACGCAACAGAAGGGAAAGAGAGAGGCTTAGCCTGAGCCATCTACTATGCGGCATGGTCGTGAATGGTGCCGTCCCGATACACTGGGGATAGAAAGTGGGGAGGCAGGAAAGGAAAAGGAGGTCAATCAGGTTGGGGAATCACGCTAGAGAGTTACGTGGTAAGGCAGAGCGGTAAAGGAACCCAGGAATTACCTTGGATGACACTATGGCGTGTTCCACTAAAGGAAGCACGCTGGGAAACGAAATTGGGAGTTGACATGGCAAATCAGGAAGGGAGAGGAAATCAGGAGTTACCTTGGATGACACTATAGCGTGTTCCACTAAAGGGAGCAGGCTGGGATGGTCGAGTTTTGATGCGACGTCGATTTCGGCCTTCACCAGCAGCAGTTGCTCCTTGGTCTGTATCAGAAACTTCTTTAAAGCGTATGTGTTGTCGGCTGGAGGAGAGAGGGGGATAGAGAAAATAAGCACAGCAACTATTTTGTCTGTATCAGGACTTCATAATGCGTATGTTTTGTGAGGTGGATGAAGGATGGCGTGGGGGACACAAAAGGAAGGGAAGATAGTGGGAAATAAAGGTGGGAAGCTGGAGCAAGTAAAACGCTTATAGCGAGGATAAGCCTCGTTAAGTGCAAAACTAGTTACAGGGGTCTTACGAGAGACGTATTTCCGTTTCGGTTTGGCTGGAACAGCCGGATTGACGTCCGAATCGTCCGCGAATCCTGCATTTTCCTCTGACTTTCGAGGTTCCGCAGCCTTGACATCACCGCTAGTCTCCACGTCAGCAGCTGGATCCGACAATGCATCTGGACCATCGACGGCGCTGCTGCGGCTGCTACCGGTTTCGCGAACAAGGTAAACGAAAGCGTAACCACCTTCGCCAAGGTTCTGCACGATGCGAAACCGTCGCCCGTTGACCTTCACCTCCTCGCCACTACTCACAGCGTCATAAATCGCCGTCAATCCCGACCACGTGCAACCCATTAGGTCTTTAATATCCTTAAGCTCCCTAATATCCTTGAGATCTTTCGCGTTGCTGCTGTTCCGGGCAGCCCCGTGACGAAAAGTTTCGACGAGGTGCTCTACGTTTTGAGTCACTTGTTTCACGCCCTTGTTCTCAAACACGTTGTCGACAAGCTTCTCCACGTTCTGTTTCACGCCTTGGCTGCCTGCAAACACGCTCTCGTACAAACGGGAAAGACCCTCGCCAACACCGTGAGCCTGGCTCGGAGGCTCCGCGGAACCACCCTGGACCCCTCTAGAACCGCTCTGGACCCCTCTAGAACCGCTCTGGACCCCTTCAGATTCGCCCTGACCCCTGGCGAACACGCTGTCGTACCAACGGGAGAGTCCTTGAGAGTTCATGTGACGAGGCTCATGCCCGCCGCGAAGATCGAAAAAATGATGGCGATCTTCTTGTTCTGTTCTGGCGGACCCTAGTATGGCGCTTGAAGCCAAAACGCTAAGGCTAGTAGCAGATAAGCTACATGAGGCAATAAGCTATTACAGCAGAGTCAACGGTCACTACACAGCAAGTCTGGCTGTTGCGAGGAATGCCGCGAGTCTCGATGGACTAGAACTGATCCTCAACGAATATCAAGTGGTTTTGTTACAGAGATCCAACGGCAGCGATTAACCTCGCGGGACATGCACAAGGTTGGGCTATGGAGATGGTTTCCCAGCCACTGGTTGTGCTGGGTGGTTGTAGGTCGCAATTGTACGCGATAATAGTGATTCTTTCGATTTACAAAAGAAAGGCTTGTAGTTCGTTAACGAAAACCGAGGAAAGGCTGGGCAAAACTCCGACTCCACTGGGGATCGAACCCAGAATCTCTGGTTCCGTAGACCAGCGCCTTATCCATTGGGCCATGGAGTCACGTCTGTCAAAAGTAAAATTAAATATATTTTTGTGTAAAAATCGGTGCACTTGTTGCACCATTCTTCCACAACCATGACGGGCCACCATGAGTAGCAGCTGTGCCGTCACGTCGCTCCGGCTCTCACTCACCAACCCGCACCTTCCGCAGCCTCGGTGCGGGTCTGAGGGACGTCAGCCATGCACCAATCCCGGAGGATCGCTGACGTGTCATCAACCCTATCCTCGCGATGTCACACGTTGTAACCTTCCTGTCGTTGACTGGAGACGCGTCTCGGGCGGCGTTGCTTGCGCGCTTCGTAGCTCAGATAGTGGAACAGGATCGAAGCCGACATTTGCGCAGCTATGTCATCCTCAATTCCAGAATAGAGTATCACAGTCCTATGGGTTACAGCTCACCTGCAGGTTCAACGGACGTCACGTTCCCAGTGCAACTGAACGCGCCCTAGGAGCAAATGGGGGAAAATTCAATTTCGGGTCGGATGAACTTGTTTCCTCCTGGTCGGGACTAGCTGCGCCAGGAAAGTTCGCCGCTGTTTCGGCCGAGTTGTTATCCGAAAGAGAGGCGAGTAGAGCAGCGCGTGGAACTGTGCGGTGTAGATCCGGTGCGGATAATAACGAGACGGAGAATGACTCTACCGCGGACGGGGAAGCCGGGTTGGCGGAGGCGGAGGGGGAGAAGGCTTGGTGGGCGCAAGGATGGGACGTGCCATGGGGATGGCGGGAGACTGGCATCGGAATGAGCGCGTGGATCTCGAGGTATGTGCGTATAACGATTGTTGCTTATAACAGGGATAAGTAGGAGTCGTGGGCGCAGGGGTGGGACGTGCCTTGGGGATGGCGGGAAACTGGCATCGGAATGAGCGCGTGGATCTTGATGTATGTGCTTATAGTGAGTGCTGTTTACAACGAGAATAAGTAGCTCTGTGGTGTGCGCTACACTCCCCATCCCACCCTCTTCCTCTACACGTCTCCCCCTCCTCCCCCGTCCCTCCCATTCTCTCCTCCCAGCTTCATATCTGTGGGCATAGCCGTGACTTTCGAGTCGACTCAAAGGGCATAGCATAGCCGTGCAGCTAACATACACTGAGGGGCACCGATCTGGACCACACTCCCACCGTACCTCACCCCACCCAATCCCACTTCACTGATCATCTCCCCCCCCTTCCTCTCCAGCTTCATATTCGTGGGCATGGCCATACAACTAGCCTGTCTCAAGCTTGGCTGGGCCCCCTGGAGGGGCACCGATCTGGACCACACTCCCATCCCACCCCACCCAATCCCACCGAATCTCACTCCACTGATCTCTTTTCCCCCTCCCCCAGCTTCATCTTTGTAGGAATAGCCGTGCATCTCGCGTGTCTCAAGCTCGGGTGGGCCCCCTGGAGGGCCACAGATCTCAACGACGAGGCGCTCTCTCTGCTCATCAACCAGTCGGTTGCGTTTGTGCGTGTGTGCATGTGTGCGTGTGTGCATGTGTGCATGTGTGCATGTCCCCCTTTTTCGCCCTTCCTTTGCCCTCTCTCGGACCTCCAGCTTCATCTTTGTAGGCATAGCCGTGCAGCTGGCGTGTCTCAAGCTCGGGTGGGCGCCCTGGAGGGGCACGGATCTTAATGACGAGGCGCTCTTTCTGCTCATCAACCAGTCGGTGCGAACGGCATCAGGGATCGCCATCGTGTGGTTTGTCGCGCGCCCTTTCCAACCACTCTCCACCGACCTTTTCCACTGGGGTAGGTCCCTTCTGGGGTAGGTAGATAGGTAGGTGCCTTCTCGGGTAGGTAGGTAGGTAGGCGCCTTCTGGGGTAGGTAGGTAGGTGCCTTCTGGGGTAGGTAGGTAGGTGCCTTCTGGGTTGCTCTTTCTGCTCATCAACCAGTCGGTGCGAACGGCATCAGGAATAGCCCTCGTGTGGTTTGTCGCCCGCCCCTTCCAACCACTGCCCACCGACCTCTTCCACTGGGGTAGGCACCTTCTGGGGTAGGTATGTACCTTCTGGGTTGCTCTTTCTGCTCATCAACCAGTCGGTGCGAACGGCATCAGGAATAGCCCTCGTGTGGTTTGTCGCCCGCCCCTTCCAACCACTGCCCACCGACCTCTTCCTCTGGGGTAGGCACCTTCTGGGGTAGGTATGTACCTTCTGGGTTGCTCTTTCTGCTCATCAACCAGTCGGTGCGAACGGCATCAGGGATAGCCATCGTATGGCTTGTCGTTCGCCCACTCAACCCACTGCCCACCAACCTCTTCCACTGGGGTAGGCGCCTTCTAGGGTAGGTAGGTAGGTAGGCGCCTTCTGGGGTAGGCGCCTTCTGGGATAGGCGCCTTCTGGGGTAGGTAGTTAGGTAGGCGCCTTCTGGGGTAGGTAGGCGCCTTCTGGGGTAGGTAGTTAGGTAGGCGCCTTCTGGGGTAGGTAGGCGCCTTCTGGGATAGACGCTTTCTGGGTTAGGCGCCTTCTGGAGTAGGCGCCTTCTGGGGTAGGCGCCTTCTGGGGTAGGCGCCTTCTGGGGTAGGTAGGCGCCTTCTGGGATAGACGCTTTCTGGGTTAGGCGCCTTCTGGAGTAGGCGCCTTCTGGGGTAGGCGCCTTCTGGGGTAGGCGCCTTCAAAGTAGGTGCCTAACCCATCACACTCTCCTCCCTCCCCTCGCAAATCCCCATTCTCTCCGCTCCCTCTCTCCCCTTTTCACACAATCCAGGTTTTGAGGACCCCTTCAGTTGTCGCAAGGGATGGTTGTCATGGGCCGGTGTGGGCGTCTTGTCTGCTCGTTTCCATCTCCTGTCCATTCACTCCCCTCTTTCCTCTCTCTTTTCACCCCTTTCAGGTTTCGAGGACCCCTTCAGTTGTCGCAAGGGGTGGTTGTCCTGGGCTAGCGTTGGCGTCTTGAGTGCTGGGCTCGTTGTTTTCGCAACTGCCACCGCCACCACGATGCTTTCAGGGGGAATTGACGCTCCCAGAGAGGTACTGCCATTGACTTCCATTGACTTTGTTGACTCTGAATTGCTTGTCATGGGCGTTCTTAGTGCTGGGCTCGTGGTCTTTGCCCCTGCCACCGCCACCACTGCCCTTTCAGGGGGAATTTACACTCCTAGTGAGGTACTGCTGTGACTTATGTTGACTTGTGTCTGGGCCGGCGTTGCAATCTTGACTGCTGGGCTCGTTGTTTTCGCCACTGCCACCGCCACGGCACTTTCAGGAGGGATCGATGCTCTGAGAGAGCTACTGCTGTGCTTTTGTTGACATTTGTTTGACTTGTGACTTTTGTTGACGTTTGTTTGACTTGTGACTTTTGTTGACGTTTGTTTGACTTGTGACTTTTGTTGACGTTTGTTTGACTTGTGACTTTTGTTGACGTTTGTTTGACTTGTGACTTTTGTTGACGTTTGTTTGACTTGTGACTTTTGTTGACGTTTGTTTGACTTGTGACTTTTGTTGACGTTTGTTTGACTTGTGACTTTTGTTGACTTTGTCCCCCTGTCTCCTCACCCATCTCGCCTCTTCCCGCCCACCCCCACTTCCAATATCAGGAAGCAGACGTGCTAGTGCAAGTGCTCCCCATAACCGCCGCCTCTCCCTTCAGCACCAGAGATCTTATGTTCGTTGCCGGTGTGCTCTTGCTTGTTCCCGCTCCCCGCCTGACCCTTCTCACCCTCATCTCTCCCTCCACTGACAGGAAGCTGACGCGCTAGTGCAAGTTCTCCCCATAATCGCTGCCTCCCCTTTCAGCACCGGTGCACTCATCTTTGTTGCTGGTGTGCTCGCGCCCATCCTCGAAGAAACTATATTTCGAGCCTTCCTGCTCACATCCTTGACTAAGTGGTGAGTATTGGGCTGTGTGATAGGGGTAGGCCAACCCGCACATCCTGAAGGGTTGTTGCTGGTGTGCTCGTGCCCATCCTCGAAGAAACCATCTTCCGAGCCTTCCTGTTGACGTCTCTGACAAAATGGTGAGTGACTGAGTCACCTGCTTGATTGCCCCGACCAGCTCCCAACCAGCTCGATTTCCACCTGTTTTTCTCCCGCATGTAGTGAGTCTATTTTTGAGTAAACTCAAAAATAGAAACCATCTTCCGAGCCTTCCTTCTCACATCCCTCACAAAATGGAGAGTGACTGAGTCACCTCTGGCAGTTGCCGAGAACGCATGTGTCTTTGCTGACGCGTCTCCTCAAATCTGCCAGCCTGGTCTATTCCCTGTTCCCCTCTTCCCTGTCTTCGTCCCGCACTTCACCAGGATGCACGTACCCATGGCAGTGGCAGGGAGCGCATGTGGCTTTGCAATACGTCTCAATTCCCTCAACCTTTTATCCTCAACACTTTTCATCCATTCTTCAGGATGCCCGTACCCCTGGCATTGGAGGGGAGCGCCTGTGCCTTTGCTGCAGCCCACATGGCTCCCAACGAGTTCCCTGTCTCCTCCCGCCTTATTCCCTACTTTTCTCCAACATTCCGTCAGGATGCCGGTAACCCTGGCAGTCGCAGGTAGTGCCCGTGCCATTGCAGCTGCCCACAAGACCTCCAACGAGTTCCCTGTTTCGTCCCGCCCTTTTCCCCTATTTTTCCCTCGCAATCCATCAGGATGCGGATTCCCCTGGCACTGGCTGGGAGCGCATGTGCCTTTGCGATACGTCTCAATTCCCCCCAACCCGTTTTCCCTTTTTTCCTCACCTTTTTCGTCCATTCTTCAGGATGCCAGTACCCCTGGCAGTGGCAGGGAGTGCCTGCGCCTTTGCTGCAGCCCACATGACTCCAAACGAGTTCCCCAAGCTGGCTGCTCTCGGTAAGTTTGCTGAATGGTAATGACGCAATCTATAAGGTGGGACAGGAAGAGAAGAGAGAGCTGCAGCCCACATGACTCCCAACATCTCACTGCTCTCGGTATGTTTGTTGAATCACACCAACGTTTTTATCATACAATTCTGACTGTTCAGCCATGTTAAATCTGAGTCTAGCTGTAGCTCTGTGTAACTGTCTCAATCAGTCTTGAAGACAGTTGCACATGACTATGGGTTGGAATCAGATTGAAGCTGCTTTAATAGAGAGGTTTGTGATCAATGAGAACTTCGTCACATCATGTTTCGAACATTCAAAGAGGAAAAGTGCTGACTTAACAGTGAGGATTGTTGAGGCGCCTCAAAAACATTCAAAGAGGAAAAGTACTGGCTTAACATTGAGGATTGTGATAAAAGAGAATGTTGTAACTTTGCATCACTTGATGTTTCTTATGTAGCTGGCTTTCAGAATTTTCGCATTGGCACAATGCACTCTCCTAACGTGCTTACGCTGTGAAACACTGTTCAGAACAAAGTAAAACCTCTCTTACGTTTCTCTCCCTCCTCTCATGTTATTGGGCTCAGAACAGTGTTCAGAACAAAGAGCGTACACAAGCTTCTCTATCCCTCCCATTGTTCCTCCCTGTCCCTCCGTTTTCTCTCTCTATCCCTCCCATTGTTCCTTTCCGCCCTGTCCCTCCCTTTTCAAGTGACTTTTGAGTCGACTCAAAAGTCACAGTGTTCGGAACAAAGATCGTACACAAGCTGCTCTATCCCTCCCATTGTTCCTTTCCTCCCTGTCCCTCCCTTTTCTCTCTCTATCCCTCTCCTTGTCACAGGATTGGTGTTGGGATTCAGCTATGTGCGCACGCGCAACCTCCTCACACCCATCATCATCCATTCCGTATGGAACTCAGGAGTCATCATCCTTCTCACACTATTGCGGGTAAGGCGCTGCTTCCTGGAAGGAACTGTCTTCGCCACTCCCCCAACTCCCTCTCGCCCACCATCATTCATGCAGTGTGGAACTCAGGGGTCATCATCATTCTCACCTTGCTGCAGGTAAGACTTTGTTATTTGAAGTGGTGGTGTTCAGCACTTCCTCAATTCTTTCTCACTCCGATAATCATCCATTTCGTGCGGAACTTGGAGGTCATCATCATTCTCACCTTGCTGTGGGTAAGCTGTTGTGTCCCCAGAACTTGCTTACTGCTGCGGTAAGACCTTGCTGCCCTAGACCTCCGGCTATTGCTTTCCCAACCTCCTCACACCGATTATCATCCATTTTGTGCGGAACTCAGGCTCAGGGGTCATCATCATTCTCACCTTGCATCAGTTGGGATGCTGGCCCCCCCAAACTGCCTTTATTGAATTCCCAAACCCCTCCCGGAAACTCTGTTTATTGTCAATTCAACCATATGGAAACGGGGGGTTGTCTTTTTTCACCTTGCTGTTGGTTTTTCTTTCCGAACTGCTTGTTTTGAGTCGTCTCAATACACACTTATGTCGGGTTGGGGGGTAATAGTCGTTCTTACCTCACTGCTGTTCGGTGCATGTTGCTCCCCATCACTGCCTGTTTCAAGTAGACTCAACAATACACACATGCTTTCCTTGCCATGTTTCGTCTTGTTCCCTTCTGTTCTTTATTCAGATGGAAGGATATGATATACAGGAGCTTATATAAGCGCATGGAAGTGACTTTTGACTTTTGACTCGCTTATATAAGCGCATGGAAGTGGAGATAGAGTGGTTCAAGAAGACCCAGAGGTTAGATTCTTAACAATTCTATGAAAATGCAAGATTGTATCTGACATCATGCATTGCCGGTGTGTGAAATGTGGTGAAGTTGGTCTACACGAATCCAGAGTGCCTGTTTCCATTCCACTCATTAGAGTTCCAATCTGTTCACATAGTTCAGCAACCCATCCAACTATATATACAGTACTATCAGGTTAGGTTCTGTGGTTCTGTGGCAGTGTGGCAATGTGGCCATTTGGCAGTGTGGCAAAGTGGCAATGTGTCAGTGTGGCAGTGTGGCAATGTCTCCGTGTGTGCATCTCGTGTTTTGTTCGTATTCAGCCCAGAAGAGGTACACTTCAATGGGACTAGAACTAGTACAATAAGAGTACAGTAGTAAAGAAGAAATAAAAGCCCCCTAATATAGAATAAAAAAAAGCCCTGTAGTACAGAAGAAAGAAAGCATGCTGTACAAGTTCTACTGCCTGCGGAACTAAACCCCTAGTCTTTCCAGCACTGGACAGGTTGCATTGGTGGCATGTTCATGTCACATCCATATGGACACATCAGTACAGGCTTTGTCTCCATGTGCATGTTCATGTAACATCCATATGCTTTTCACGCATGCTTTGCTACTGAAAATCCCAACCAGCCCCTATCTGCATCCTAAACCAAAACATTGCCTCTCCACTTCACAAACCCGTTCAAAGAATCGCATCGTGTGACGTTTTACCGTGTTCCTCTCGACGTCATTTTCAAGCCCTGTCGAAGCTCCTTCGCACCTCACCAGTTACATCTGCGGGTGTCGAATCTGCTTATCACGGATACCACGGCCTCCCGCTTCCATACAAGCGGCGGCTGTACATCTTGGGGGGAGACCAGGGGCGCCCGCTCCCCCACAGGCGGCGGCTATACATTCTGGGGGGGGACCAGGGGCGGCCACTCCCCCACAGGCGGCGGCTGTACATCTTGGAGAAAGACCAGGGGCGCCCGCTTCCCCATAGGCGGCGGCTCATCTTGGTCTTTCCGCCCGCCAGTGCGCCGTCGCCGCGGGGAACAGTTGGCTGCGGCGGCTCTGCGCGGATCTCCTCCTCCGCCTGAGCGGCGGATTCCTCCCGCGGCAAGGGCTCGAATCCGCGCGTGCGGAGCTCCATCGCGCGGAACCCCCTGTCGCGGGTATCAGGGCAGTAATCATAACTTTGCTTATAGGCATATTTATTTGACATGTCAGCAGTAATCCCGTCGAAACCACCCCCGTTACACTGCGGGTAACCAAAGTCAGCACAGCCGGAATTCCCCGGGCACTGCAGGGAACTAATCCCCCACTCGATATCATCCGTGCTGGCCTGGTCGTAGCCGCTTAACTCGTAACCGGAGAGGTCTATATCGCAGCAACGCGCAAGCTTGCGTAGGGTCCCCTGGCAGTCCTCGCAGTACAGCGCGCCGCGTTGAACGATCGTGCACTTTCCCGAGCCGTCCTTGGAATAGCCGCCGCCGTAGAGACACGTGAGACGCCACCCGTTGCCGTTACAGAAGCTCAGCACGGCAACGGTCTCGCTGGCCTCGTTTGCACAGTCGAAGTCGAATGCACGAACCGGAGCGAGCGGGAGGAGGAGGCAGGAGAGGAGGAGAGTCGCGAGGATTGTTTGGAGAAACGCGGGAGGAGCGTTTCCGGCCGTCATCGGCGCTAGTGACGCGTCGTCGGCACCAATTGACGAGAGAAACCGAAACGAAGAAAACTGCTATTCCTAAGTACTCGAAAACAGAAAGGAACGTTGAGATTCTATTAACGAAAGACGAGGAGTTGCGCAGAGGCGTTTATGGTATAGATGACAAATTCGTGCTTCGAAGGAACCGGCTACCTTCATAGCTGTGAAAGTAATCGAGTTGGGATCTGCTGAGAAAACAGGCTAGAGCGAAATAAATAGATGCTGGACCAATGACTGCTAGGCAAACTCAACACCAAGTGAAGGGAGGAGGACATGTGGAGAGAATTCGGTTCCCGAAGGGTGAGTGGGCAGGGCACGAGATGCAAGCCAAAGCCCCCGCCCAAAGGCGCTGACATGTTTCTTGGGAAGAAATGAGTGTCTGGACAGCGATGCACGGAATGCAAATCGCGCCGAGTCACCTAGTTCGCCGTGCGATGCCACGCACGCATTTCTCGAGTCATGGTGTGCCCGTGCTCTTCGCAAGCTCATTTCGCGCGTTTCTTACCTAGTTGTGCAGGGATGGAGGCTGACGGGACTGGCCCTAGCTGCTGCTCTGTTACGGCGTGAATGGCTGGCGAAGAACTTCGCGAAGATTTTCTTTGCTGGCAGTATCGCAACTGACGTTGACTTTATTGAGAGATCATAACTGCGCCCTTACAACTGAATTCGCGAACTGTAAGTAGACACAACCATCATCCATCCTCTCTAAGCGTGGCTTGGATGAGCGTTAGTGGACATCCACTAGGTGTAGAATGATTCAAGTAAACTCATGTTCGAAGTCCTCGTTCTAGATGTGTGTTTTTTATTATGCGCCTCAAAAGAACTCTTCTGACGCGCCTCAAAATAATTCCTAATTGTGCAAGGCCCCTGATGATGGAACGTTCTTCCTTGTTTTCTCTGTGTCTGTGACTGCACTGCAGGTGTTGAGATGTCTCAAAACTGTTATTCCTTGTTCTCGATGTGTGTGTGACTCCACTGCAGGTTCCTCGCCTTGTGCGCATGCAGATGACATGGAAGTGAGGTTTGTGGGCACTGTTCAGCAGGTGGTGGGCACTGGCACTGGGCACTAGGCACCCGGTGCTACCAGTGTGTGACTATAGGTTCCTTGCCTTGTGCGCATATATGTTGATGGTATGGAGGTGAGGGGTGGGACTGGTCGGAGGGCGGTGGGCATGGGCAGTAGGCGGTGGGCGGTGGGCGGTATGTGTTTGCATGCTGCTGTGCTTCTGCGCATGCATGCAGATGACATGGAGGTAAGTGGTTGTTCCGGAGCATTTCATTGGGGAAGTCGGTTATTCCCCTACTAGTGGGGTAGGTAGGCACTGCATGTTAGCATTGCATGCACGGTTCCACCGTGCATGTGGGTGCGTGCACTGCATGCTGCTGGCGTAGAGGTGGAAAGATAAATAACCAAGCCATCTCACTGTACTTACATATCAGCCGCCGGGGAGATTGTGGCCATGCAGCATTTGCCCCAGCGCAATCCTCTTACATTTCTTTCCCATCTATGACGGGTTTTAAGAGGCTGGGGCTGGGGAGATAGAGGCCATGTCGTCTTTGCTTCGAAGAATTCTTTTCTTGCGTGATGACTCTCCCATACAGCTCTGGACATACAAGAGGCTGGAGCAGGTGAGATCGTAGCCATGTTTGGAGTGGCCTTTTTTCGAGGCGTCTCAAAACCTACCATCTCACACACCCCCATCATCCATCCATCCCACATTTTCGTCTCCCTTGCAGGACATTCAAGAGGATGATGCCGGTGAGATTGTGGACATGTTCGGAGTGGACTGTGCCACTGGTGAGTGGGTCAATATGGGACTTGCAATGTTCATTGTTTGCTTGCGTGAGGTGGGCACTGTTTCATTGTTTACTTTTCTTTTTGCCACCTCTACCATGACTTTGCATGCATGAACGTGCTCGATCCAGCCATACCATCTATGCTTGTTATGACACCACATTTACCCAATTCTTTACCCTCCCTCACTCCCCCTCACTTTTCCTCACTCCCTCTCATTTCTCCCTTCTATCTCACTCACCCAACCACCAGTGTGTGGCACCTTCATGGATGGCTAGGTGTGCTTCACAATGTTCGGCACGATGAACGTGGCCTCTCATCATGGTACGTGTGATTTCTATGGCACCATGCTTAGTCGCTCTTACTCTTCTCTATGTCCTTCATCCATCCACCAGGCGACACCTTCACAGATGGTTCGGTGCGCTTCACCATTACTGTGTCTGACTTCCTATGCATTGTCTGTGCTTTTTTGCGTAAAACTGCACCCACCAGGCGACACCTTCATAGATGGTTCGGTGCGCTTCACCATGAACAGCATGAACGTGTCTCTGAGGGGGACTCAGTCTTGCTGTCTGTGCCTCCCTCGGCAACACATGTATCCTCTCTTACTCTCATCTACCCCCCCTTCCTCCTCATCCCACCCACTAGGCGACACCTTCACAGATGGCTCAGTGTGCTTCACCATTACCAGCATAAACGTGCCTGAGCCACTCTTGCCGTGCTATTCTCTGCTCACTCCCTTCATTGCTCCCCTCTCCTCCCCTTAAACCCCCCACCAGGCGACACCTTCACAGACGCCCTGTGCACTTCACCATGACCAGCATG